TGACTTTTTTGAATATATAAAACGTTTGTGTGTGTTGCAGTGGCATCTATTGACCAGTCTGTACTGGAGGACAAGAATGAGATGTGATATCACTGGACTTGTAGAGAGCTTCATCCAGATCCAGAGCTTGCTTGTCAACTTTCACCGTCATACAGCCGCGGTAGAAAGCGGTAACTGGAGTTGAAGTGACAGGAACATCTGAGTGGTTGTGATTTTTTTTTTTAAAAGGAAGAAAACATATTCAATAAATGTTACTAAGTTCCTCCTCCTTTTTAATTTCAAAACAAACAAGTCAACATTCTTCCTTTCTGCATCTCATACTGTTCTCAAATCTATCATTAATCCCAAATACAAAAACAGCTACATAATTGATGGAAGTGTTCACAGTAGAAATTCAGCATGTTTCTGCATACCAAGATGTATGTATGTATGTATGTATGTATGTATGTATGTATGTAGGTAGGTAGGTAGGTAGGTAGGTAGGTAGGTAGGTAGGTAGGTAGGTAGGTAGGTAGGTACAGTGGTGCCTCGCAAGACGAGTGCTCCGTTTTACGACGAAAACACATAACGAAATTTTTGCGATCGCAAAATGATGTTTCCTATGGGGGAATTTCGCTTTGCGATGATCAGTTTACTGCTTCGGGAACCGATTCTCACAAAACGACGATTTTCCTACAGCTGATTGGCAGTTTCAAAATGGCCGCCGGGTAAAAAAAATGGTCACCCGCTGTTTTCTGGGATGGATTCCTTGCTGCATGGGCAGCGAAAATGGCCACGCTATGGAGGATCTTCGCTGGACAGTGAGTTTCAAGCCCATAGGAACGCATTAATCGGGTTTTAATGCGTTTCTATGGGCTTTTTAATTTTGCTTTACGTTGTTTTCATTCTACAGCGATTTCGCTGGAATGAATTAACATCGTAATGCGAGGCACCATTGTATGTATGTATGTATGTATGTATGTAGGTATGTATGTATGTATGTATGTATGTATGTATGTATGTATGTATGTATGTATGTATGTATGTATGTATGTATGTATGTACCACCCGTATCAGTGCGTGTACTACTCTGGGTGGTTTACGAGTTTAAACTTAAAAAGACACCACATAACAACACCTACGACAATATGGCAATTTTAAAAAAGAACAAAATAAAATATTAATAACAACAGCATCTGAGAGTCAGTTGTTGAAGGCAGCTCTGAGTATTCTGTTTTCAACAATTTTCTTAATATAAGGAAATTAGGAAATATGTTCTGAGTTGTAGGCTTTAAGTGTTTTCCTAATTACAGATCCCATCTCCCATCCTTATTTTTGAGACGTTTTAGGCAAATCTTCACTACAGCCTTTCAAGAGGGTCTGCATAATGTGCTCCTTGCTATCTCCCCTAAATGAAAGATTTGGCTTAACTATTACGTATTATATGGATGACATGACTAGTGCACTGATGTAGTTCTTTAATAGGCTCACTTTGTAGAAAGTGAGACTCATCCTTCTAGTTGTGCTACAGTCCGCTTCAGTTCTCTACAGCTCAGAACAAGTGGATTATAACTGCAGGAATAAATCTGCTGTGGGGACAGCGGGGATCTGAAATATTTGCAGTCTAGCCCAGCGTAATGAAGAAAATGGGTATAATCTCCAATATATGACGGCTGATTTCAGGTGTGGCACTGGAAAAAAAGGAGCTTTTCCGGTGCAAAAGAGAATGCAAGTAGAAGCTCACAAAATCCCAGAATATGGTGTGACAAGTGACGCTTCTATGTCTAGTGTTCATTGCTAGAGGAAAAGCCGGCCTGTCAGGGACAGAACATGAATAAAGGATATGAAAATAGTTTATCTTAAAATTATGAGGAGTAAACCCAAATAATAAATTCCTCTTATGTTAAAAAGTACTGAAGATATGCTGCATTAATAAGGTATAAGGAAATCTGCAGGTCATACATCTTTGTTGAAAGTTTTTTTGGAAGTGGTAAAAATCTTGTATTAGATGCCTACCATTATCCATGTAAACACTGAAGCAGGAAGAGAGAGACAGGATTTTAGTATAAGCCAATACATGAAGAAATCAGCTTATATCAACATTATTGCTACCAATTTATAATCCGTCTGCAATTTAATCTACCAAGAGTCACTCTTTCACTCATATATGCATGCACACAATGTGGTGCCAGTTTCTCAAGCAGCCTCTGCAGCCATGCCTTTAAACCAAAGTTTGACCTGCAGGACATAGCAGTGAGCCTTTTTTATGACAATGAAGGGAACGTTGTGTGCCAATTCCTGCAGTCTAGGTGCCTGTTAAAGGCATAACTGCAGGCCTGATCCAGAGGCTAGCAACCTTCAGTAGATGCACAGGATGTGGAATGGAATAAGCATTTAGTTAATTGTCTTCTAGAGGTTACTTAAAACCTCCCTGTACTAACATCTGTCATTAAATAGCACAAAGTAATCCTGCTGAGGAAGGAATCCTAAAATGCATTGTTATGGGGAAAGTGCATGACCCATTTTTTTTTTGCATCTAATTGTCACCAGTAAAAACAGAAATACACATTTTTAGATAAGCATGACAACTTCAACTGTATCTGTGTGATTATACTTTTTTTGCCTCTTAGCTATCCCAGTATCAAATTATTTTAGGAAAAATTAAAAGACCCGCTGATGGTTTCATCTAATTTGAAAAGATAGGTTGAAAGAGAAAGCTAATTAGAAAAGGGGGGCCCTGTATATTACACTAAATAGAGGAAAGCTATGAAAGAATTAAACTGATGAGGGGTGTTGTACAGGTCATTTCCAATATTTGATAGTCAAACAATTCAAATTCTTTGCCTTAGGATTCCTTAATGAGCTCAATGGGAAGTACATGAAAGCAGACATTTATTTAATGGGTACAGTCTATTCTTTCCACATGTTTAGAGCCTCCATCTCTGAATCTGTGTAGTAGAGGATTCTATAGCCATTTATTTATTAATTTCTACATTGCTATTCTGCTTTTCAGTGCTGAAGCATTCCTTAAGCAGCTAAACGTCTGACAATAATGAAAGCCACAAATGAAACGAAATTGGGCCAACATGAAAACAGGTATTAGAGCAATAAGAGCGAGTATAGTATAGAGGACAGTGTTGGGATTAGGATTTGGGACACTCAGGTTCAAATCTCCACTCAGCCATCAAAGTCACTGAATGACCTCGGAAGAGTCCACTTGGCCTGACTTATCTCGCAGGGGTGTTGCGAAGACAATGTGGACAGCAAGTGTATTTACTCACTGAAGGAAAGCTCGATAGTAATACAACAGAAAAATGAAAAATCCTAAAACTACAAATAGCTTTTTAAAAATAGGGGAGTAACACAAACGTCTAGAAGACCAGAGCACATAAAAACCACCTTAGCTGCTACCAAAGGGAAATCACTATGCTGGCAAGTATCTGGATGGGAAAACAGGCCAAAACCAGACTGCTGCTACCTAGACGGTCCTTCTCTCTTAGATCACTACCCATTTCTCTACAGGTCAGAAGGAGGACCTCTCAAAGAGGACCTCAGCGTTAGAGAAGCATCATGTGGGAATAAAGGTCCTGGGGCTATGTTGAACTGAGCTGTACAGGTCTTTAAAGGTAAGACCTAACACATTAAAATTGCGCCTGGAAGTGACAATTTCATTCTGAAATGAAACCACATCTGATACAATCCACACCTTTATTCTCTGAAGCATAAGGGCTGATTTTTTTTCTTTTTTGAGCTTTCAGTAATGTTCATCAAAAAATCCAAAATAACACATTTATCAGAAAGACACTAGCTGAGTGGAGAAACACAGCTGAACTGTATATTTCTAGTGGGGTGAGGCATTCCATTCCAGTCTCCAGTGTACCAGAATTTCTCTGCAATTACTACACTTTTAACACAATGATTATTTTAAAAGTTTCACACAGCAATGTACAAGGTGTATGTGATGCTGGAATGAGCCAGTGGCACGTAGAAACCTTTGGTGTCTTCACCAAAGCGGACTCCATTTATGGGGGTGTGGAGGGATTTGTGGAGCATCACCTATTGATATGATCATTCAAACATACAGGTATTTGGTTTGTTATTGATTGTTATATATGTGGCAAGAAAAGATGCCCGAACCACAATTCGATCCTACAATAACATATGAAATAGTCCTTACTAATCCAACAGCGTAAGTAGAATGTACTTCTAAATAACTATTTAAAATACAGTGGTGCCTCGCATAACAAGCGCCCCGATTAATGACAAATCCGCATAACGATGCAGATTTTGCGATCGAAAAAGCGATCGCATTGCGATGTTTAAACAGGGAAAACATCGCATTGCGATGATCAGTAAGCGTTTCACTTACTGATCTTTGCATTGCAATGTTTTAAAACAGCTAATCGGCGGTTCCAAAAAGGCCGCCGGAAGAAAAAAATGGCCACCTGCAGCGTTTTCGCGCAGTTTCCTCACTTACCGAGGTGGCGAAAATGGTGGCCGGATGGAGGATTTCCGCATAGCGGTGAGTCTTCCTCCCATGGGAACGCATTAAACAGGGTTTAATGCATTCCTATGGGGTTTTTTGCCCCGTATAGCAACGTTTCCGAATAGCGACGATTTATCTGGAACGGATTATCGTCGCTATGTGGGGCACCAGTGTACATCTCCTGATATGAACGTGTGACATACAACCAGTCTTGTTGTCAAAACAATGCTACAAAAGCTCTCACTGATAGAGACAAAGACACTTCAAAATTTAAGTGTCCTGTTTCTTGGCCAGTGGTAACTCTTGGGGTGCTAACATCACTATGCCCACACATTTCTCCTTTTGATTATGGCCATAGTTAACAGAGCTGTGCATGGAAACTGTGGTCTACTGATGATTCTGGAAAGGCTCTTTGCCATAACTGTCACCCACTGTGCCTTAAGTTCCAATTCCAAATCACAGCAGCAACAGCTAAAGAAAATGGGGGGGTAGATGTATCTCGGTCTTTGGATTTACTTTGTAAGCAGTGCAGAAGTCTTTCCAATTCATACAGTTTCATGCCTTGACTATGCCACCACTAGCAAAGACACTTACCAGTACTAGGGTTGAGATTTACTGTTCTCTGAATGATGTGAGTTGATGATAGCCATAAGAAAAACCAGTGTCTGGTGCCCCCAGCCTCTGGTAAACTGGCTGAGAACACAACTACACATACAAACACCATTCCATCTTCACCATGCATTGGTAAGCGACAGTTTTGGTAATCAATATACTGTATATATACCCAGTAATTGTATGAACTGGCTCCTGAGTTACTTCTGACCTCCTACCCCTGGAGAACAGTGTTTCTAAGGACTTTGTTTTCTTTCTTTCTTCCTTTCTTCCTTTCTTCCTTTCTTCCTTCCTTTTCTTTTCCTCTTTTTTTTTAGCAAAATAAACCTACATTACTGCATATTCCGTTTTCCTGTGTAGTCTCATATCTTTGCAATCCTTACTTTTTTCCCTTTGGACTTGAAATAAAAGTATGTGTACAATGCCTAGAAAACTGATTTCTCAGTATCTGGAGTGGGCAATGTGTGGTCCTCCAGATGCTGACCTGCCACTTAGCCAGCAAAGCTAGTGGTGAATGATAACAAATACTGTGGGGTTCAAGATCATGGGGGGGGGGAGCGGAAGCCACTCATCTCAGATCTATGGAACAGATTACAAGTTATATCAGGATTCAAAACAAAACAAAACTCAGGTTCACTTCTATTTCAGTTTCACAAACAGGTACAACTTTCCTATTATAATGTGATTTTGAAATATTAGCTTTCTTTGAGTCAATATTACATACAATGCAGTTTTTTACATAGTTTCCTATTGTGTTTTTACTTTAATTATTGTATAATTTTTATTGTTTGTGAACTATCCTGAGTTCTCTACAGGAAGAAAGGGAGCAAGCAACCAAACAAGTAAGCAAGCCAGGAAATAAATAAAAACAAACAAACAAACGAATGAATGAATGAATAAATAAATATTGAAGCAGAATATCAAATTTCACTGACAGTTTTCTTGGCACATTTTTTAAATTATCAAATATTGGACTATGGGCTGTAATAACTGATACCCACCTGGCAGTCCTCCTACATAGGTCTTTACGGACGATTGCAGAAAATCATCCAAAACTGACAGGTTGTCTTCTAGCTGTGAATGACTTAGTTCATTCTGTCCCGCAACCCCATTCATGGTCAGTAATATCTGATTCTTGCTGATAGAGATGTCAACCACATGTTCTTGTTCATCGCAAATGGTTACTGCTAGTCGGCACACTACGGTATTCCTCACTGCCAAGACGATAAACTAAATTGTAGAGGAGATTAAGGAACAAGTGAAACATGGAGACTTTTGTGTATTCGTACAACAAAACAAAACCCCAACCTGTTATTTTAGGCACATAAGATTGTATTACCAAATGCATGGATGATTAAAGATGGCTGCAAACGTCAAGTGCCACTGTGTTATCTTTATCCATTGAAAAAGCTTGGAAACCTTGCTTTCAAATGAAACAGAATGCATTTGTAAACATGAAATAAAGTTTATGCTACTCTGTTTAACTGTTTTAGTTAAAATGTTTCTCCTCAATGCTTTTCACTATATAAACACAAGAAGTCAAGGACAGTGTTGATGGATTAGAGAGCACTGAGTCAAGTAGTGTCTGCTCTCATTGGATGCTTTTGGATGCAGGTCACATGAAGATAACGTGCAACTCAGATTCTAGTAAGCTGCTCATGTGCTGCAACTGAGCGTGAGTTCCCATGATTTGTTACTATTGCTAGTACACCTCGTTGATCTAGATGTGGTGGAAGAAGAGGAGCCGGGCAAACAGCAGAAACTGTTCCTCCTTTTAAAACTCTTCTACCCCTACCGACTCTGAGGAGATTGCTCTGAAGGCAGCTGCTGCCATAGCCACTCTGTTCGAGATAGGCAGTGCCTGATTCAGCCTTAAGTGCTGTAGTGTGTTTCTCCTCAGGCTCAGATGCATTAAGCTGGCTCTGGCAAAGAGCCATCACATCCCTCTGCTTACTCAAACAGGGTGTGACGTATGTGTGGAGAACAGCAGCCGCTGAAGAGCAGAAAAACAGAAGGAAGGTACACAAGCCTGCATATGTTACACAGGGAGATGGGTTGCCACCTTACTATGCATAGTAGCAGCAGGCCTCCACCCTCCCATCAGTCAAGGTCTGCCCCACCAGAGACAAGCTATCCACAAAGGGATAAGCTGCACCTTCTCCATTTATAGCTCAGTCCATCATCTGCTAACCAGGATTATCAGATGGACTAACGCGTTTTGGGGTGTCAAGTAGAGGGAATCACTGAAATTTCCCTAATGATCCTTAGGCTACTATGGAGAAAGGAAGGAGGACATGCCAGTCAGTTCTTGCATTTTGAGATTCCTCAGTTTTTCAGTTATGAACCTTAGTCCTAGTCACGTTGCCACACCCCCATCCGCATGTATGCTATTATCATTTAGCCATTTGTGCAAAAGTTACAATTTTCCTGCTTTACTGATTTCAATGGAAGTGTAAACTCACATGCCAAAATCTCTGCCACTAAAAGTAATCAGATTCAATATTCCTTAAAGACAGTTGAATGGAAATCAGAATTCTGTCCCTAAAAGACCCTGAAGCTATGTCCACTGAGAGTGCTTACAATAAATATATCCAGACATATTTTCATGTTCACCTGTTGTTTAAGTTTTTTTGTGGAATGATAGTCGATCAGAGCTACCGACAAAGGAACAGTTGCTTCACTGCTTACGAGGGCAAAGAGAACCCCAGTATCCGTGGCTGGCCGGATCAGAATATTGACTTTGACTTCCCACTGCTTCCTGGTTTCATTGCTGTCAAGTGGCTGGGCTACAGAAAGGGAGAGAGAAAAAAACATGGCACGCGTAATTTTTAAAACAAACCAAATAAGCAACAGATGGGATTTCTGAGGCAAGAACAGATGGCTACAGATAATACAGCTGCCCTTTATTCAGTTAGCAGTGAAAAGTGTCACTTTGTCAGACGAAAGCTTTTCATAACAGCTCCACTTTATCCATTTCACAGAAAACACCATGGTCAAGGTCTAACTTTTTAATCTAGAGAGGGCAATTCGGATTGCTGGGGGTATCTTACCTCCCATATTGTAAGAACTCTTGTAATATGTGTCATCAAGCTTCAGTATCCGCCTGGAACTATAGGAAGTAACTGAATAATCTGATTTCATTCTAACACACACACCCAGCAAAAGACAGCAAAATGAAACAAAACAAACATAAATAGAACACAGTCCACATCGCTTAAGTGTAATTCTGGGTTCAGATCATGCTAACTTCAGTGTCACGTTTCTGAACTGACAGCACACTATCACTATTTGTAGTTTCTGAAGAAGTAGCTATGCTAGCATATCACACAACTGGATATGACTGCAAAGGTTGCTGAGATGGCACGGATTATAAATCACCATAAAATGAAAAAAATCTCAAATACACTTATTTAAGGTTTGAGAAATGCCTCATTTGTAGATAAAAACCCAAGTTCTTTTTATACTGGAGTCTTTTATTTACAGGGCATAAAATAAATGCCATAATATACTGCCTGAAATCCTGTTGCTCAATGTAGTAAGTCACAAATAGAGTAGTCCTATTTGAGTCAGTGGAACCTATGGAGGAGCTGACTCACCAAATCCCCACTGAATCAATGGGTGCCTACTGTGATTTACTACACTAAGCAACAGGATTTCAGCCACTCTCATATATACGTATATAATAGAACAGAGTGGCTTTCAAACACTAATAGTTTGCACAGAAGAGAAGATTTTGTGTCTTGTCTTACAAAGTCTCACAATTAAATTGCTTGATTAATTTTGCTAAAGTATGTTGTAGTGATCACCCTGCTTCGGCTCATGGAGGAGGATATTTGCATGCACCAATGGGAGTTGTTGGGAGGCAGAGCCAGAGAAACTAGAAGGGAGGGGTGAGGCAGAGAGGAGGAGTTTAGTCAGTGGGAGTCAGAGATGAGAGTCTGAAGTCAGTCAGTCTGTGGGCATTAGAGGGAGTGGTAGAGTGAGGAGTTAAGGGAGGCAGTTAAGAGTATGGAATGTATAGAAAGAGTGGAACAAGTTATTACAAAACTACTTAATACAGTGGTGCCCCGCATAGCGACATTAATCCGTTCCGGATTAATCGTCACTATGCAGAAACATCGCTAAACGGAACGGAAAAAGCCATAGGAACGCATTAAACTTCGTTTAATGCATTCCTATGGCTCCCAAACTCACCATTCAGCGAAGTTCCTCCATAGCGCCGCCATTTTCGCGCCCTCGGTAAGTGAGGGCAGGGCGCAAAAGCACTTGCGGCGGCCATTTTGGGCACCCGGTGGCCATTTTGGAACCGCCTATCAGCTGTTTAAAAAAACATTGTAATGCGAAGATTGGTAAGCGAAATGCTTACTGATCATCGCAATGCGATGTTTTGCCTATTCAGAACACTGCAATGCGATCGCATTAGCGATCTAAAAAAATAGATCGATATGCGGATTCGTCGTTAAATGGTGCACTCGTTAAGCGAGGCACCACTGTACTTTAAAGTCTTTCAAGAACCTGTTTAAGTGAACTGTACTCAATAAACCTGGTTTTGTTAAACTTTACACTCAGCCTGGACCTCAATCTTTCTAATTGAACATTGTCAACAGAGATCAACTGGTGGCAGCATAAAGGAGGGAACGTGTCATGGGCCTCAGACTAGTGAAATAATCTGGGGACATGCAGGGGCATGTCACATATGTGTCCTGTCAAGAGTTCAAGTGTTCCTTAATCCATTATTCTATTCTCCTCCCTGATGCACCGAATTCATTTACTACAGAAAATTTGCCATCCAAACTGCTGGTCCCAAGCTAATTCCTGTCACCTTATATAAAGTGATACGGAGACTGGGTGAGCAAAATCACCTAACCCATCTGAATCTTGGAGAACAATTGCTCTCAACTCTTGCCGCAATTGCTGGCTTTGGAGGTACCCCGCCAGTCCTCTGATGGTGCAGGAAAAGCCTCTGAAGTGCTCTGAAACTGGTGCATGTGGTTGCAGGGCACCCCCGCCAGTGTTCTGTTGGCTTTCTCTGCACCATCAGAATACTGGCAGGGGTGCCCTGCAACCACACGCACCGGCTTCAGAGCACTTTGGAGGCTTTTCCTGCACCATCTGAGGTCAAAAGGCTTCTTTTTTTTACCTTCCGAGGCTTGCCGAAGGCAGGGGGAAAGGGCGGGAACTTCAAAAATGGTGCCAGGCAAATCTCTGCAAATGCCCATCGTTGCGCGGAGGGACCCCCGCGGATCCTGGGATGGTGCAAGGAAAGCCCCGGGGAACCCCCAAAGCCATCGAGCGGCACTTGCAGAGGCTAGCCCAGCACCCCCCACAGCAAAGCGCCGCTTTCAGAAGCCTCCCAGGGCTTCGTCTTACGAATCAGGGCCATAGGAATGATCGTCTTGCGAGGCACAAAAACCCTAGCCAGACCCATTCGTCTAGTGAGTTTTTCGTGCCGCGAGATGTTCGTCTAGCGAGGCACCACTGTGCAGTTTACAGCCTGCCTTTGATGGTTGAAGAGCATGCCTACACATTTTTCAAAAGTAAAAAACTACTTGCATCAACAGAGGTTGTGTGCTTGTGTGCATATTAATCATTTCATTTTATGTTCATTTTATTTAAACAGGCAACTGTTTAAATTGCATGGCCAGGTCAACTGGGCCTTCCTTTCCAATCTAGACCAGCCTTCAGGTGGGGGGGGGCTGCCAATACAAATAATCTCAGCTTCATCCTGCAGAGAGGTTTCTGAGTTGTGGCTGTCCTCCAAATAACAACATAACATTATTTTATCAATGCAGAACTGAAGCCACTCCTTCCTTTCAGTTGTACAGTATGAATTCATTACCACAATTCCGTGTAGGCAGTTTGGATGGGACAGCAAAATACCTGAGGGCCTATTTCCTTAGGCCTATATTCTTAGCCAGACCTTTTTATAGTATCATGCTAAAGATCTGTATTAGCAGTAGCTAATTTGGTCCTTACAAGTTAATGGTTGTAAACTCTGAGGCTCTTCGTAGTTTTAACTGCAGGGCCAAGGCTGGGGTTTTGTAAGAGTGATATATGCCCCCTTCCTTTTGAAAACAGAAGTCTGTCATGACATGCAATATTTTGGTATTCTTAAGCAAGTATTTCTTCTCTGCTGACATACCACTTTTCACATAAGAAAGCAGTGACACAAAGGGTAGGGCTAGGACAGGTGATGGATGAGTAACACTTAAACAGAACTTGGGAGTTGCATAAGAGAGAAACAGAGATTCTCTGTTGTGTTGAATCTATGCTGGGTTGTTAGTCTGAGCAGAACATGATATTGAGAAAGTGACCACATTGACTTTGAGTCAAATCAATATTGTCACGGGCCCAATAAAGGAAAATCACCCTCAACATTACATTGATGATCTTTTCTCCAAATAATAAATCATGGGTGACAGTTATGAACAAAAGAAGCCCCAAGTGAACTGTGTGTGTGTGTGTGTGTCATGACTCAAACCTGTGTAAGCAAATCAGTGCAATTCGTAGCAACAAATTGCAATTAACTAATTAGATGCTGCTTGTATTTCTGGACACATGCCCATGAACATAAACACCTTATTAATTTGTTGCAATTTGACACTGGAGCTTATGCAGGTATAAATCACCAACTGGATTCCTGCCACTGTGCAGACAGCAAAAGGCAAACCTGAGTTGCATATGTGTGGGATGTTAAACTGGAATATTACATCCTTTATTTCATAAACCTCTAATTCCACCTCCTTTGTATATGTTTAACTTGTTTATATGAAAGATACTAACCCTAATAACAATATTAGTCCCTTTCCTTTACCCAATGTGTGAGAAAGGAAGTGTCTCATCTCCATGTGAATAACCAGCCTTCCGCAGAGGATAAATTGCTGTTTGTCCATAGATTCTGCACAGAAGAATGCACCCTGGAAAATTTGGGTTAGTGCTCATTGGAGAGTCTCCACACAAGCAAGAACCTTTCCTCTGCAGACAGATAACCTTCCACATGGAAAAGGCAATAATGAACAGAGATTGAGGTAAGTGTTCCCATTTGCATGCTGGATGAAGTAAGGTAAGCAATGTCTGAATAGGGTTATTGTGCCTCTAATATTATTTCTTCATTTTCTGTTCCATTCCTCACAAGAGAGATTTCCTTTGTTACTATTCTTGCAAATTTAAAACTACTCATTACCCAACAGAATGGAACCAAGAGCTTACCATAACTGAGATTAAAAACAGCAAAACCGTTGCCAGGGTAGAAAGATCCTCTTCCAGCAACTGCGAAGCACTGCATCTTATCATTCAATCTCACAGTCTCTTGGATAGTCATATCCTCACCATTCAGCCAATTCCAGCCTCTCATACAGCCATCTAGCCGTGGGTTAATCTAACAAGATAAAGCNTAAAAACAGCAAAACCGTTGCGAGGGTAGAAAGATCCTCTTCCAGCAACTGCGAAGCACTGCATCTTATCATTCAATCTCACAGTCTCTTGGATAGTCATATCCTCACCATTCAGCCAATTCCAGCCTCTCATACAGCCATCTAGCCGTGGGTTAATCTAACAAGATAAAGCATAATAATAATAATAATAATAATAATAATAATAATAATAATAATAATAATAATAATAATAATAATAATCTTTATTGTCATTGTAAGTATATACACAGTATACCATACAACGAAATTCACAGACACCCAGAGACCAGACACATGCACACACATAACATTCCCCAAACACTCCCCACCCACTAAAAGTCCCCCACTAAAAATACAAACATCTACACCTCAGGCCAAGTAACACAGTCCAACTAATTATTCACTACTGGTGGTCTTTAAGCTCATTATTAATTGTAATTATAGCTCTAGGATAAAAACTATTTAGAAAACGTGTGGTCCGAGTCTTAATTGTTCTATATCTTCTGCCAGACGGTAACAGTTCAAAAAAGTTATAAGCAGGATGGGAAGAGTCTCTCAGGATGCTATGTGATTTCCTTAGACAGCGGGATGTGAAGATGTCATCCAGGGTTGTAGCTGGAGCCCGATGATATTCTGGGCAATTTTAATGGTTCTCTGTAGAGCTTTTTTGTCCGCTACAGAGCTACTCCCAAACCATGCCAGAATGCCATAAGTTAGGACACTCTCAATGGTGCTACGGTAGTAGGACAGAAGTAAATGCTGTGATAAATTTAACTTCCCGAGCATTCTCAGGAAATACAGCCTCTTCTGTGCCTTCTTTATTAGCATGTTGGCATTTATAGTCCATGAGAGGTCCTCTGAGATGTAAGTACCCAGAAATTTAAAACTACCAACTCTCTCCACTTCCTCACCGTTTATGTACAGTGGTAAATGTACATTTCTCTTCCTCCTAAAATCAATTATGAGTTCTTTAGTTTTTTTGATGTTAAGTGTGAGATGATTTTCTTTACACCATAGTATCAGTCTTTGTACTTCCTTTCTATAAGCAGACTCATTGTTCTTATTTATGAGCCCCACCACTGTCGTATCATCCGCAAATTTAATAATTGCATTGGTGTTATATAGTGGGGTGCAATCATGTGTGTACAGGGAATAGAGGAAGGGACTTAGCACGCAGCCCTGGGGAGCTCCTGTACTTAGTACCAGGGTAGAAGAATGGTGGGATCCCATCCTTACTGACTGTGGCCTATCTGTCAGAAAATCCTTTATCCACATGCAGATCTCCTGAGGTAATCCCAGGTTGATCATTTTTAAAAACAACCTATTTGGTAGAATGGTGTTAAAAGCAGAGCTATAATCCACAAACAACAGCCTCACATAAGTTCCCTGTTGTTCTAAGTGGCTCAATACAGTATGGAGTACGATGGACACAGCATCATCAGTAGATCTATTTCTCCTGTATGCAAATTGTCATGGATCCAAAGAAGGTGGAAGACTAGCCTTAATGTAATCCAGCACCAATCTCTCAAAACATTTCATAATAACAGATGTTAAAGCTACTGGTCTATAATCATTGGGAGATACCACAGCTGACTGCTTCGGGACTGGCACTATAATAGATATACGCATGAATTATTGGTATGCATTCTACCAGAAGATAGAGAAAATGAAATGGTGAAAAAGAGAAAGGAATAGAATCAAACGCTAATAAATGGCTAACATCACAATATAATTTATTCTTATTATAAAATTGTGTGTGTATTAATATTCTGGAAAGCGCGTCTCACATCTGAAATCTGCAGTACTAGTGGTTGTCTGTCAATGGTAGATTCTAGTGATGTATTATGGACAGTAGGTGCTGGAATAATGGTTGTTCCTGTTTCCACCTCAAAACGGTGGAAAGGCTTATTTAAGTCATTGCGGAATTCAGAATGGAGCTGTACAAACAAAAATGATGCTACTTTAAAGATCTCTATACTGACTTGTGCTACTCAGGTGCCATCTTTAACATACTGTTGTTTTATGAACATATGAGCTGTACAGGATTCATGAAGCATTGAAGAGGAATGGAGCTCAGAAACTGTGAGAAGTTTTTATCTTAAACTACAAAGAGCTATGCTGGGTTCTGAATAGAGAGCACGTTACCATAGTCTCTCAAGATTGAAGGATGCCTAATCAATCAATATGCTGGGTTAGACCAAAAGCCTAGTTGGTCTAGCATTTTGGTCATTCAATGCAGTGGTCCCCAACCTTGGTCCTCCAGCTGTTCTTGCACCTTCAGATGTTCTTGGACTACAACTCTGAGAAGCCTTCACCACCACCTCTGCTGGCCAAGATTTCTGGGTGTTGAAGTCCAAGAATATTTGGAGGCCCAAGGTTGGGGACCACTGATTCAAGGGATAATCAGATGTTTATGTGAGGCCTATAGAGCCTGGATAAAACTACTTTCTGTTCTCTGTAAACATGTTAGAGCTGATAGAGGTCTGGATTCTGCATGAGCAGATAACTTTGGCTGAAATTCCATGATACTTTTCAGTGGCATGACATAGCTTCTTTGCAGCTTTGCAGATATAATGAGAATTACGGATGACTCCAGTGATCATCAGGAGAAAGATGGAATACTCCTTTTTGCTGGGAATTAATTGGAGAGAGGGCAGCTGCAATAACTGGCTGCTCCAATTTCCAGTTTAAATATAACAAGGCAAATATAGGCACAAGATGCTTGCTTGCTTATGAACCAACTACAGATAATCAAAATGGTTCCTATTAATGTATCTATTACTTAGGGAGTTTTTAGTTAGGGTTTTCTGTTTCAATTACAACTTTCTTTCTTGAAACTCTGAATATACTTACCTTCTTAAAAAAGAGGGGAACCCCCCCCCACAACTTTGCTGATAATTTCTGATAGACCTTTATCATTATGTTTTTCTAATTTTTCTGCTCAGTAATCTTAATTAGGACACTTTTTGGATTTCCGAGAACCCTGGGTTCACCCCAGGAGTGAGAAGCTTGCATACCGTACACTTGGTAGATATAGATATTTTTACATTTTCTTAGCAACCTTTTGGGCTGCAATATTGTGTATGTTTGCTTCTGGGTAAGCCTGTATAAAATGATGTAAATACTATTATGATATTAAAATTAAATAGTTTCACGACAATTATAGAGGGGTTGGTTTGTCAAAGCTATCTATCACATACACAAACTATCCTATTCTTGTTTTTTAAAACCTATCCTATAAGAATTATTTGCACAATTCTTTTTTTACTCTTAAGCACTTAAATAGGCTATATTTATACTTTGGCTTTTAAATTATTAGGCTGGAGAGTATTAGGAGACTACATGGTTATTTTTGCATTTATTTAGTGGTATTATTTTTTTTAATTTAACATATATATCAATTTATGCTTTGATCAATTTTTACACTAGCCAAAATCCTGTTGCATAGTTATCTCTCCAAAATTACCAAAGGATTTTTCATCAAGTTGTGTCACTTCCATAGGTTGCAAGCTTCTGTTGCTTCAACAAAAGCTAAGCAAGATCTCTTCATTTAGACATGCCGGCTTGATTTTCTGAATGATTTCCAGCCTTGTTTCTATAAGGACTATGAGGCTTCTTCATACTTATGCTCTGTGCTACCTCTAGAATTTGTGTGCTTTGCCTAGGACAAAAGACAGAGCTCTGATATGAACGACTCTTCTGTTTTTCAGAAATGGAGACCCGCCATTCCCTCCTCACCCCAGTAAGCACTGTTAGGTGTAATCTGATTTTTGCAGACATACTAGTGATTCTTTCAGTCTACATCATGGGACTGAGCTGAACCACAGACTTTACACCAAAATCTGGTCCAATTTTTTTGGACTACATGTCTTCTCCACACTGCCTCCCCATCCCACAATTTTTATACCACCTAGTTCGATGCAGTAAATGCCCTACACCTTGTATGTCTTTATGGAATTATAGTTGATCTTAATACACAGATAAAACATACCAAATCCACAGAGGAATACATCAAACAAGGTAGGAGATGCAATGAAAAAAACCCAGAAATTCGTCAATGAAAATGTTTTAGTTATTAAAGAAGTTTTGAGCTAGTATTAAAGCAACTGTAGTACTGGTAGAAGTCACATCTCCATGTAAAGCTATGCCAGAATTAGGGTGCCACAACCAAGACAGCTAGTTCCCTCACTGACACACCCACGGTACATGGATGAGAGCCTCCTGCAATTATCTTGAGGCATGGACAGGCTGGCACTGGGACTGGCATGCCTGCAGATACTTGGTTTCAGACCATTTAGGGCTTTAAAGGTAAGCAGCAGATCCTCAAATGTAGCAAACAGACAATACTGAAGAATTAGTATAATTTGATTCCATCCAGCTGTCAGTTAACAGTTCAAAGCACTAGCTTTGAGACTTTCAGATAGTCTTCAAGAGCAACTCCATGTACCATGTGCTATAATAATCTAATAGGATGTTCTCAATATATGAACAACTCTGACCAAACTATCCCTATTCTCCAAGCTATGCACTTCTGCTTTCATAAGGTTTTCATCCGCCCTCATTCTGCCCACCAATTCTCAGATAAGCAAACCAGCTATCCACAGGGACTTCCTTGAGTCAGGAATCAGCTTCAGTTTACTGGTTAGTTCCCACTTGTATAAAAAGTGACTCAATACCCATCGTCATGCTTCACTCTAACCAGAACATCTTTACCTTCATTTCCACTGCCACCAAATTTCCTTTTTAAGCCTCTTATTCCATTGTGAAACAGATTTTTTTTCAAGCTAAAACCTTAAATTCCAAGTTAGATAGTGCAGCATAATTTTGCACTGAGTCTCCATGGCGTTTGCTGGGCTAAATCTCATTACAGTGGTGCCCAGCATGATGATGATAATCCGTTCCAGGAAAATCGTTTTTAAGTGAAATCGTCATCATGCGGGGGGAAAAATCGTCATTGGAATGCATTGAAAACCGGTTAATGTGTTCCAATGGGGAGATTACCTCATCATCCAGCAAAGATCCTCCACAGGGCGGCCATTTTGTGAGTGCCGATCAGCTGTTTTTAATCGCTGTCTTCCGAAACAAGGGTCGGAAAACAGCAGGAGGCCATTTTGAAAACCCGACAATCAGCTGTGAAGATCGTTGTCCAGCAAAAAAACGGTTTCCGGAGCAGGGAACTAATCATCGTTAAGTGGATTTTCCCCATTGGAACCATTATTTTGCAATTGCTATAGCGATCGCAAAAAAGTCATCGTGCAGCAATTTCGTCGTGCAGCAGGTTCGTCATAATGCGGGGCACCACTGTATCTGTAATCAGCACAGGGGCCTACAAGAAAGGCCCAGATATTAAAAAGACTTGTTTCTATGGTTAGCTAAGCCCAATTTAGCTAAAGCTCCTGTCTAAAAACAGACGTGTAGACAACATAGATTCAGCACCACGCCTTCTATATCTTCACAGAATCAGCTTTTAGACAGACCATCAAAAGTGGGCAACTTCCCCACAGACCATTTTTGTCCTGACAGAAATCCAGAGGCCTCAATTTATTTTCTTTTACCAAACTATTCTCAAGGCAACAGGAATTCTGATTTGGTAACAAAGGTTGGAAAATCTAAAAAGAAAGTTATGAGCAGCTCAGTATGGATGTGCTCAGGACAGCATATAGAAAATCAAATAAACGACAAAATGGTAGCATTTTCATTTGTTTCTGAAATTTTCGACAAACATTTTACCATATTCTGAAAACAATTCTCAGTACTCAATTTAGCAACTGACAATTATTTCAGATCAGACTCATGGTCCACCAGCTGACCATCCCTGTGCTGGCTTACAATTTGTATATGGCTAAGAATAGCACTTACTGGCTGGACAAGATCTTTGATTTTAAAAGGAACACCTCCCACTGTTAGATTTAGTTGATAAAGTCCTCTTTCGAAAGTAAACAGATCTCCTGAAACAGCTATCTTCATAACAGCATCTTTATTGACTTTTATCACCAAGCTTCTGTCCAGTTCTTCAACGGATATCTGGCAGGGGGCAGGATACAAAGAAGTTCAGATCAAGATGATAGGCAAAAGACGTAAGTCATTTTTATCACCAAGCTTCTGTCCAGATGTATATAAGGCTTATTCCACTGAATTAATTCCTGCAAACACTCATTGATTTTAATGTTTCAGGTTTGTACCAAGAAAACCCCATCTAGTTTGGAGGAATTCTGACACTTCAGAATCCTAATGGGAGTTTCTGTTCATACATTCTGACACTCTTCTGGAACACAGTTTATATGTTTCCACCAGACTATGAAACAGCTATGATGTCTTTTCCATATCTTCTAATGATGAAACACTTGTCCTGCTCAGGGCTCACTAAATCCAGAGGTCTTAACATGCTTAGAGAGGAGTGCCTTGCCCTGCCTCCTCTGTCAACACATTTTTTGTGCAGTCATTTCTGAGTCTGAACAGAAGCTCATACTTGCGTGTAGACTATCCATGCAAGCAAGAACCCAAATCTTCCAGAATTCTTGCTCGCACAGCCAACAGGCAAGCAGGAACGACTCTCCTCTTCCGATCTAGCAATGACTTTATGAACAAAGTGATGACAGAGGGGCCGGAGGCAGGTGTTCCCCTCTGAACATATTCAAATTCTAGGATTCCGTAACACTTGAAGGGGGCGACTGATTTCCTGGAAATTGTTATGCGACACACAGGCACACTTGTGCCTCACAGTCTTCTTCAAATGTTGTCATGGTACCCCAAGAGTATAAGACAGAGTAAGTGGAGATGGCACCCCAGCTGTTACAATAATAGTGCTGTAATGTGAAAAAAAGTTAGGAGGGTGGGAGAGAAAAAAATTTCAAGAACTTTTCAGGATTACATAACACCAGGAAGTTTAAAATGAAAGAAAGACAAAGGATATTTAAGTCCAAGAATACAAATAAGGAAGTTTAAGAAGAAACTCAGGGAGCAATATAAGTCATTACACTCCAGTTAGACCATTAAAATAGACATGTCCTTGTTTTCTAGAAATGGGTAGATAAAAATATATACGAAACATATTTTACTTTATTAATTTTTGTATTAAACTCCTGATTCTAAAATCTTTTCTAAAAATCCTTAAAACTTTATCACCAAAAATGGCAAGGAGACATACTTTTCTCTCTCTTTAATTTTCCCTCCATTTACTTTCTATTTTATCTTTGTATTGTATTTGTCATGTATTTGTCATGTAATTTTGTTGGGCGGTTGTTTACAGTATATTGGAAGCCACCTAGAGTGGCCTTGTAGGCCAGATGGGCGGGGTATAAATCAAATAAATAAATAAATAATAAATAAAGGAAATCTGCCACGCCTGAAAGACTTGGCTGATTTCCAACAGCCAATAGAGTTCAGCATGGTTCATTCTTTTTGAAAATAAAAACCAAGAGGAAGAAACAATATTATAGGCATCAAGAAAACAGTGTAACTGAAAGCACAATTTCTGACGGGAAGCACTGATTAACAGGGATTAAGATTATTGCCAAATCTATCAGAAAAGCTCTTGTAACTATAAAATAATTGCATTAACAGTCTACAGTTCTCACTTTCAGTGGAGGGTTATAAAACACTGGGTCTGGGATTAATTTTTATAAATCTAACTTCTTAAAACATTGGCATTATTTCATAATGAGGCATTTTGTTTGGTTTTGGTTAACACATCCATTCTACAATTTAGAAATGTTGGTTTGACTGCTGCAACTGACAAGTCTTTATGTGTTAGCTGCATCAGATATTTTCCAGTGCAAGTCTTGACTTTTTGTAAATAAATGCACTTCCAATCCATCATTTCACATTTTTATCAGTAATCTATATTTCCTTGGAACTGTCATTATCCAAAAATGTAATTAACTCTGGGAGCTTTTAGATTAATCATATACACACAAAACAGCTACATAAAATCCAGCTTTATGGCCAGGTTTTCCAGAATTCTACTGTATGCTCCAACGAATAGAGAAATTATTTTTTTGTGGCGAAAGTAAAGGAACTGAACCAGACACGATTGGGTGTAACTGGAAATATTAGCAAATCTGTGGATGTGTTTTATCCATTACATTCTTTATAAAATAAGACTCTCTCAATAGGCAGATTTTACTAAAATACTCAAGAGTACTCCATGCTTTTTTTTAAAATCAGAGTCTATATTTTATCAATACTGTCATCCTATACCTACATATTTAGGTGTAAACCTCACTGCACTCAATGGAAATCATGTTGAAGAGAGATATGCAGTATTGTACCCTTGAAGCAACTCTTGGTGGTTAGATCCCACACCTGAAAGCAAGCCCTACTTGCTGGAATCTGATTGTTATTCACATAACAGTTGGTCATATGACCTGGCACGCAACTGAGACACAGCCTGGCACCTTGTCAATTAGCCATGGCAAGCTACACAAACATCACATGATCATCAGTAGGATTCTGGCCACTGAGCTCATAATGCTAAATTCTGGGTAACCACATGTAAGACTGCACTGTTAATGCCAGAAAATGTATTTCTGATAAATGAAATAATTCAATCTAATCTGTTGGAAAATGTGGATCTTGTTAGTTGTGGTGCTGGTAGTGGTTGTTAGAAGTAGTCACAAAGCAATGTTTAACTCAACTGATTATTTCAACTAGGTGTACGTAACTGGTGTGGTGGCAGTGGACCTCCCCAGTTTCTCCTCTTAAGTCAGCCTCTCTAGTCTCCTAAGAAGCGCATGTAGGTGACTGAGGGACCCTGCTACACGGAATGAAATGATGTGTGAAGTAGAGGATGAACCCTAAGGAATCAAACAAAGAGGCATCTTCTGTGAGTCCACATATCCCAACTACAGTGCAATAAATGTCAGAGCAGAATAACACCTGAATAAAAACATTATTTAGAACAAGTTAGAACAACACTTTTTTCCTGTTACAATAGTGTGCTTTCTTTATCACCCATTTAAAATTTAGTAGAGATAAAGATAATCCAACTCAAGTGTTAAAGACATAGAATAGCAGTCTATACTATACCCACTGTCTGCCACATTCCATGGTTGATTATTGGTCCACTGCTGGTCACACGGCCTATTCCATTATACTTGAGTTGCAGTTCTAACCGTCCACTGCGCAATGCCAAGACTATCCAAATGCTATCTTGATGGCCTCCAGCAAAGAAAAGGATACCTTCAGGATCAAAGGTTCTAAAGTCGAATTCAGCAACAAGTCTAACCACATGGGTATATAAAAAATACATATATAATCAGACTCATGCAGTATTTTAAAATAAATAGTGCATTTCATCTACATTTAGTCATACTTAAGCATAGACTCCTTGGGCATAATTCTGTTGATAAAGTTACACTCCCTTTTGCCCCAGGAAAACTTTCAGAGCTTGGGATGGGGGGGGCTTTAATAATCAAAATTTGCCACTAGATCACCAGAAGAAGCCTTAATTCCAGCAGAAATGATTCTGTAGCTTATTTCTGACTATCTAAAAGTTCTTCCCAAGACTCCCAGAGGCTTCCCCAGAGAAAAAGGGAGACTTAGGGAGCCTCAAAACTTGAAACAGGGGGACAAGAAGCTTTCAATTCATTTAAATCAAATATTCTCTTTGCTGGATAATGACATCATCTGGCTTCTGCAGCTTAACTTTATGAAAGAGGATTTTGTCCAGTGAAATCTGTTTTAATAGTGAAATTGGTCACACTGATTTCAGTAGGTCTATTTCAGATACAATTCAAACTGGGTAAATATAATACACAAACCCACCCGTGTCAATTGAGAGGTCTCTTATCAAGTGTAAAAAAATTCACTTCCTACAAGGGCTCCCCCCTCAAAGTATTTGGAGGCATTAACAAACCATCCACTACTCCTTGATTTATTTGTTTCTAAAGTCTACTTTGCATATGTCATTTGAGGTATCATGAGGAATTCAGATCAGGAAATGAAGGAGGTATCTTCTTATGGAAGAGGTGCTGGGCTGGGGATAGCAAGGAAACCACAGGGATATGAACCATGGGAAGAAAGAGAAAGACAGAAAGCAAGAGATGTTGGGTAGGATTCCACCTTCTGCTGCTGCCTGCATGTTGTAATTTAGATAGCATTTAGAGGCTTGCGAATGCTGCCAGGTTTTGGAAGATTTACTACGCACATGTGACTGCTTCACAAGTTCTTTATGGATACAACACATGTACTGTATGTATCATTTATTTATTTTATTTATTTATTTATTTATTTATTTATTTGATTCATATCCCGCCCATCTGGTATATCATACCATTCCCCCTGTATCATGGGGAAACAGGACAGAACTGCCAGCTCTGGCACCAGTGTTGTCACTTCTTGAATGTTGATACAATATAGTAGAGACTTATTTGCCAAAGAAGGCTGACACACCTGTAGCAGAAAGTGTGTAGGCTTCCAGGCCCTTTGAGTACTCAGTGGCACTCAGCTCCAAATCAGACAGAAACCGGCTCCTGTTCAAAGGCACAGGGTTCCCCAGGAAGCCATCACACTCAATGGGAGTGTACACAACGCCAAGGTAGGGCCAGAGGCACAGCCCCACTTTCTCATAGGACTGGTCCATGATTTTTTTTGTAGCCAAAGCCTTTTGTTAGTGAGGTCAAGGTTAATGGCCAGTCAGATTTATTTGGCACATGAAGAAAAATGTCGCAAGCACCCCTCTGTGGCAGTAAAAAATTCAGTAATAATAAATAACCAACAATATGCTGCTCCATTGCAACACCCCAAATCTGGTTCTTTGGGGCAGCTGCCTCACTTTGTCCAATGAGAGGGCAGGCTCCACCTATACAGTGCATATGGTGCAAACTTCTAAAGAAGTATATTTGTAAATCATTTGATTTGGATACATATGCAGATGATACCCTAAAAAGGAAGGTTTCACACGAGCTGGCTGATAATCAAACTAGGATGTGAATATCTGAGTTTTTCTGCTTCAGGACAAACGCCATTTCTGGCTCATGTCTGAATAATCCAGCCATCTTCCTCACTCCTCTGGCTCAAGAGCAGTGCATGGAATGCGTGTGGCTCTGTCAGGAAGACATCTTCTCTCCCACTCCACTTTAAAGTGTATGAAAAGGTGGGAGAACCCTTAAAGAACCAAAGAAGCTGAATCATGAAATTATGCCAGGCATTTGGGAGGCAGATAGGGGGCAAAGCCAAATCAAAGCAGACAGCTTACTTGTCTCCCATCTCACTGGGATTTAAATCAGCTCTAAGGCCAAAAACAGGTGCCTCCATCATTATAGAGACCAAGGCAGGAGGAAGCCGTTTAATGGCTTAGTGATGATATTCTCCCCATCTTTATTCTTCATTGGGAGAAGTTCTTCTCTTCTAAATTGAAAATGAATTCTCACCGGGTAGGCTGTTTCCTCTTAAAACGCAGTCTGATAACAGGTGTGCCACTAAACATTCTTCCAAGATAGAGAGACTTGACACTCTTTGCATCAGCAAACGATACACAAGGCAAAATATCCTAGAAATTGGGGTGGAGCAGGGAGACAAACCACGTCAATACTGTTTTCAGATACAGATGGAAGCTGACAAGGTACAAAATTTAAATGATTTGGTTCTATTTTCAGACACTAATAGTAACACAGGAGCTTCCTAATGAAAGTGAGGACATGAGAAATCTGGGAGTGGAGAGCACATGGAACCCTCTTGATGTTTCGAACTAAAACTTCCATAATCGTTCGCCACAAGACATGCATTATGGGGAGCACAGAAGCTTACTTAGAAAACATCTGAAGAGCCAGTGTATTTCAGCTGGGTTCCAAGAGATGGGCAACAGCCTCTCTATTACTATTATATGCTGCCAACTCCCTTTTGATGTATGGTGCCCTATGAATGAATGACCCCCCCAAAGCTCCTATTCCTAAGAACATTGCTCAGGTCTTGCAAACGAAAGGCTGTCAATTTCCTTTCCTTCCAAATAAGAAATTCTTTGTGTTTTGAAAAGGCGGTGTGTGTGGGGGGGGGACAAAGAGGTTGCAGAGCACTTGGCGGCCTTTTGTTTAAAGAGTTGGGTGATAAATTTCCAAGTTTGAAACCACACCTTCCCTCCACAAAACTTTCTGCAGACTGCACCTGTATCTATCTAAAGAAGATGACCTGTCCCCAACAATGGCCATGAGACTTTCGGACTTTAATAAAAACATGTAATTTTCTGAACTACCCATAAGAACTTGTTGCATAGCCTGAAGAAGATGATTTGTCATCAAAAGCTAGTTGTTTGTTTCTTTGATTTTTTTTAGTGGTCTAATAAAGGTATCACCAGCTCCTGTCTTTCTATTCCTTTACAATTTGTATTCCTTTGCATTCCATCCAGTTTTAGGCCTCCCTCTTCTCCTGCTGCCTTTCACTCTCCTTAGTTTTATTGCCATTTCCAGCAAGTCTTACCTTCTCATGATACACGCACAGCCTCAGTTTAGTCTCTTCACATTTCCAGTGTGAACTCAGGCTTGTTTTGATCTACAACCAATTCACTTATCTTCCTGCTGTTCTGTGGTGTCTGTAAAGTTCTCTTGCAGAACCACGCATTGAACAAGCCCTTTCCCCCCATGTTACCTTACACTATTGCTGCTCAGCAACAACCCTTCTGGAAGTATGTAAGACAAGAACCTATATTTCCCCTGTTTGATATTTCCCCTGAGGAGAAATGGGATCCTACAAAGCAAAGTCCTAAGGAAACACCTTCCCTGACCATTGTAAGCAGCCTGTAGCCAACGTCCTAGTCTGTAGCTCCACTGACGCAACAGAAATGGTATCACTGGCAGTAGCAAAGTTACTGCTAATTCAAGAGTTCTGCTTCCATTATAAGTTGAGTGCAACTTGCATTCAATGGAAGATAGCAATGCGCAACCCAACAGGAACTCTTTAATTAGTGCCAATTTTCCACTGTTTGGTGATGTCACTTCTATTGCACTGGTGGGGTTATGAAATAATATACTAGCCACTATTTTGGTAGTTATGAAAGCATTTAATCATACAGGTGTAACTGGATAATTCCTTTTCTCAGAGAGGTGCTTTAAAACCTTAATGCTGAATTCCTCTGTTCTACTCAATGGGACAAAGAATTAAAAACACTACCTCACAGGTGTTCATGTCACTTGCAAGTTTAACTCCACCTCTTCCATTGCAATGGCAGCTGTAGCTTCCTGCTGAATTGACACATGTCTGCTCACAGAAGTTCTGTTCACATTCATCCACATCTACATGCCGCCACCAAGAGAAAAAGCAGAGAGAGATGTTCTTTTATTTACCTTAAATGCATCTTCAAAAAGAACACACAGATGATAACTAACACCAAACAGACAACCTGCCAACAAAAAACATATAGGTTTTCATTCTATATGCTCTTTATGATGACTATATGTAAACCTATATGTCTTTGCAACTGGACATGACAACAGGAAAATATCAATGTCTTCTTATCTTACTTTCAGGTTTTCTGGAGACATCTGGCTGGTGAGCACAGGGAACACACCCCTTGATTAGACAGACCTTTAGTCTGATCCAGCAGAATTCTTCCAGTGCTCAATTTTTTTTTTTTTTTAAATCTTAGCCACAATCTGGCTGAAAATTGTGATGATGACTGTTCAAATCTAGTAGCTCTCTGGAAGCTTGTTTAATTAAGCAAAGGGAAGATCTTTCAGTGAAGTACTAAAGTTCAGCATTGGAATTATATGCATGGAATTAATTACACCAGCTAACCTTGGCAAACCTTTCTGAAGTCATCATAACGGTAGCCAGCATCACAAACACACATATAAGAGCTTATCAAATTTTTACACCGAGCTTCTCCACAGATGTCAGATGATACTGTGCATTCATCTATATCTGAAAAGGACCAATCAAGAACAGCAGTCAACAACAACAATCAAAATGTTAATGTTGTTCTAATGTTCATCCCTCCCTTCCCAGCTGCATCTAAGAGTGTAGTAAAATTTTATTCCATTGTTTTAACTAAATAATGGAACTAGGAAATGACTTCAGCTTTCCCAGAAACTACATGCTGATATCCTGTAAGTCACAAGGCACTGCTAATGGGTAAAAATTGTAAAGTTATTAAAAGTGGGAACACTGAAAAAAGTCTCAAGAAAAAAATGGGACAGAAACTTTGAAAAAACACAGGATGTGACTATTTTACTGAGAAAAGAAACTAACACATTTTTCTAAAGCTTATTTGCTTCACCTTGAAATAGATACATGGAACATTATATTTGCATATGGTTCTTTTGCTAGAACAGTGTATATAACTTATGCACAGAAGCGAGCCAAAAATCACTTCTGCAATGTGAGAATAAAAGGCATACAATATAATCTCAATTTGCATGAAAGTATAAATGTAAAAGATTAGTCCCACCCACTCTTGGGCCATTAGTTACATACATACAGCAAGTAGACTTCTCACGGGTTATTATAGATAGATTTTTTTTGGGGGGGGGAGAGAAATCTTTTAAATATAGAACAGGCTTGAGAACTGCATCCATGATTCAGTGGAGTCTCCTGATTCACAAATCCCTAAAAATCTGTTTTTAATTATGTGCAAGTAAAAGAGAGAGCATATAAACTCCAAGATTATGCTGCTATACTTCTAATAGCAGGACCTTTTCCTCTTTTCCTGATCACCTCCATGCTCCAAAGTTCTGCAAAACCTGCTTTGGAGAACTTTGGGGTACACTGGGAACTGTAGGATAAGTAATAATTGCTTCCTTCCCACTTCTACCAACAGAAGCCAGACTGTCAGCAGAACGACTCAAATGGATACCATGTATAGTGTTGGGCAGGATCAGTGAGAAGTGAGTCTGAATCCTACTCAGCCATGAGGTTTACTATGTGATTCAGGAGCAGCCACTACTTCCCACTATAGCTTATCTAAATGACTTATAAGGATAAAATGTGTTCTTCTTGGAAAAACTGCAGGATACAAATTTACTACTCAAACACCCAACCCTACACAATAATTCCTCCAATGATGGAGGGACCATCAGATAGCTCGTAAGATCTGAATCGGCTTTACCTAATTTCAAGCCACCTAGTAAGCCAAGAAAGAATAAATATGCAGAATGCCTTGTCTGGAATCATATATTAAGCACAAAAGCAGAATAACTAACTAGGAGACTAAGATGCTGAACAGTTAATATTCAAGTGAATTCCAAGTCTGTTCATTTCAAATTGAAGTGCCCAGCTGGACTTTACTCACACAAATGCATAAATCTGATCTAAAATAGTCCTTATCCTCTTTCTTTATTTGTCTCAAACAAAGCTGCTTTAAGATAGGGTAATGTAGAGGCAGGAAGTAGCAAGGGAATGTAAGCTTGACTCTCTCTCTCCCACCCCACAAAAATTCTGAATTTCAACATTCTTTGCAAACGACTTTTGCATCCCCAGAAACCTGCCCCAAATTAGAATTTGCTCATTGGGCTGAAGAAGCTTCCCCACTCCTGCAGCAGGGCTTCTAGGCAGCAAGATGGAACAGAAAGGCTTCGGGTGGGAAAGTGTTCACTGCTTCGGCTTTCCTGTGCTCTTGCCTTCTTGCTTCCTCATCAGTCATCAATATACTGCTATGTTTGTCTACTGATAACTGTTGAGTAAACAGCACCGAGGAAAAGATTTGTTTCAGTGTGCAGGACAAGGAATCTTCATTCTGTTCGATTGACTGAAGTATTGTATAATTCTGCAGAAAAGCCCCCAACTTTAAACTTATAGATCCACCATCCAGTCACCAGAAGATCTCTCTTGATTCCTCCACACAGCAGAATGATTAAAAGATTCATACCTTTCTCAAACCCAGTCTGTGTTATGTTCCAACAGAAAGGAAAACAGCATGACTTTTTGAAAAAAAAAATTATATTGTACTTTGCCAAGAACTGCTTTTTCAGTGCCAGAGAGGGATGGTTAGCTGGGCACTTTGACACAATCCAACACACAAATTCTTTGTGAATCACTGCTTGGCTTGGTGCTAGATAGTTCTGTGGTATGACTACAGACATGCCTAGGCATGCATTCCTGGCTTTTCACACTGAAACTTTAAACTATAGCTATGAGAAAATAAGAAGCATTAGAAATAACTTTGCTTAGTACTCAGTGTTAACATGCTAATAAAGACAGCAAACTGTTTCTCTCGAAGATACTTTCAATACCGTTTTTACTTAGTCTCTCATAAACTGGAACCCACTTCACTAGATCCGAGTTCATTTATGACAGCACATGCAGAAAAATGTGCTAATCTTCCAGATGTCATTACTTTCTTCCTGTTTTTCTGTTCACCATGAAAATTTTTAAACCAGGGTCCAGCAGTACTGTGGACCCCTTTCTACCTTACCCTCACAAGTTTTATTGTCTTCTGCAAGTCTGTATCCACTGTAACAAGCACAGCGATAGGTGCCCAGCTTGTTGTAACAAATCTGTCTGCAGCCACCATTCTGATCAGCACATTCATTAATATCTGGAAACAGATAAAGACAATTTGTGTTTTCAAAATCATATCAGGTTAAAAGAAAGCAATCCAAGACAATCCTTCTTTCTCCCATTATTGCCCACAGACATTTCTAATGCTACAAATGCAAAACATATGCACAACTTTAATTAAGTTTGCCTTCATTCTAGAGTAGGTTGGTAGCATCAATTGCGAAGTGGAGAAAAGGCTGAAAAAAAGCAAGGCTTTTGTTGATGGGATTTCCAGCTAAGTTTTATTAGCATGTTAAAAGAACTCACAATAATTAGTACTCATGTCACAAATAACCCAAATTATAACACATACCAAGCCAATAAATAAATTTAAATAATGCCCAAGACATTATATTTCATCTCACAAGAAATATAATATGTTTCAAGAAAAACAAATCAATAAACAATGTACAGACCAAGCCTTCTGTTCTTCTTTTTTCCATGGGCAGCTGCTGTGTAGCAAATCAGGCCATTGGCACATTTATCCCAACACTGTCTCCAAACACAGTATGATCAGACAGCACTTTATCTCATCTTGTGGACTGCTTTGGGAATGGGCTGGTTCACTCCATCTTCCAGCAACCACATGACATGCAGGTGATTGCAAACCAGACCAACCCTTTTTCACACCTACCCGTACCTTTTTGGCAGGGGCTATTTTTCTTGTTATTATGGGCTGGAACACTTCTCTTTAGTTTGGTTTCCAGGATTTGTGGGTGTTTCTGCCAACAATTTAATGGTATGTCAATTGGGTGGCAAGCCAAGCCAATTAAGTGATATATCACTTACCAATAAATGGGGGGGGGGGAATTCAGCTTTCTCCTGCTCCTTGCAGAGGACGTGACCGGAGAAAATGTGGAGGGCAATCCTCCACTTTTTTTTTCTTTACAATTGAGTGCTGTTTCACTTTGGTGGCAAACCACTGAAGTGATATGTCACTTAGCAAAAGCACCCAATCCTTGTGCATGGACAAACAGATCCTTTGAAGTCTCAGACCTCATTTTCAAGAGAGAGTTTATATAGCGCAATCCAGCCTGGGATAATTTCGCTGTCTAGTCACACTCTGAGTGACTGTGATTCTTCAGACAAGAGTCTTTCTCTATCTGGAGATGTCACAGTCTGAACAGTAAAAACTTCTAATGCAAAAAACGTGCTTTGCTACTGATCCAAGGCTTTCTTTATCTCACATTAGGACTGTTGAATTGCTTACCTTTATCACATCTTTCTCCATGCCAACCTGGTTTGCAATGACAAAGATATCCACCTTTCAAGTCTTCACATTCTGTAGTACCTTCTTTATGACATGGACTGGGCGAACACTGATTCGGCAGGTCTAGGGGTTAGAGGTAGGGGAAATCACATCCTTGAACCAAATGGCTTAAAACAAGAACATTGCTATTAAGATTCAAGCTAATTCTGAGAGGTTAATACATGATTCACTTCTATCATGCAGCTAAGGAAACAGAAATAATAGTATTGCATTACCATGTTATGCTGTTTTCCAGGCAGTTTGCCAAATTACAGAGAAAATATATACTTGCCAAATTAAATAGATACTTGTATGCAGAGCTCCCTCTTTTTTTAAAAAAAAAACATCAACACAACAATGTGGAAAATATTATGAACTTACCTTCTTCATTCTTACTTTGAAGTCATGATGTCAGAAACTATTGTTTGCACCGACAGAAAAGAGGCAAAAGACAAACAATTCTTTTTTCCAAACAAAAGCAGAAGATCTGGGCACATTTCCAGCAGTTAAGTGCACTCCTATCTTGTCTTAAACTGGGGTAGGCAACGTCCTGAACTCCAAAGTCCACACATTCCCACTCCTGCACCTTGGAGGACTACTTATATAGTATATGGTTTATATATATATAAACCAAAAAAATGTGTAGGGTGGGAGCAAGATGCTAAAGGCCCGACACATGGCAAAACTGCCTCCCATACCCAGTGCAGGGTATATGGGCCTTTGTGAGCCAAGCTGTTCTTTTAATCAACGTGGAGAATGCTGGGAGGGATACTTTGGCCCATGGAGGGTGCATACAACCCACAGGACACACTGTGACCACTCCTGCCGTCAATCTTTTATATCAAGGAATAAAGATTGGGCGGGAGAGGAATTCAGAAAAAAAATTGTGCTGAAACATAAACATACACAACGCTTGGTGCACACATCTGAAACACAAGCCAGGCTCTCATTCACATTCCTTTCACCATACTACTTTCACAGATTCAATAGTATCTGATGAGTCCTTGTATATATAAACTGAAATGCACTGATACCTACAGGTACCTGCATGCATAAATCACCCAGACCAGGGGTGGGGGGAAGCATCACAGAACTACATGTGCATGAATGCACAGATATACCCACCTACGAACAATGCACGCTACAAATGTATGCATTGTGCACATGCTCATTTCTGTCAACCTCTGGCAACTGACAGATTAGTTCTCTAGCACATCTTGAATATATTGCCTCTACCCCTACTTGCAACCAGCATTAAACCACGCAGCAAGAGGGTTTTAGTAATAAGTTAGTTGAGAAAATGGTAAGAGCAGTTGCTATATTTATAAGGCACAGTGATTGAAAAATGCACTCCTCGTCTTCCAGTCAAATAATTAGGTGGATGGACATATATCTAGTCATCAACCTGGGCAGGCTACTCATGGCTCAAGTGACTGTAAAGGCTGCCTGAAGGAGCATGTTGCCTCCTAACTACTTTCTGCAGGAGTGGTGACACTATGCACCAAAGGAACAAAGAAGGCAGCATGTGTTGTATATGTTCTACAGCTTTCCATGCCATTCTAGTGAAAAGAAAAGCCTGCGGCACTGAACAGGAGAATGAATCAAGAACCTTTCTTCCAAGGAAGCTGACTGCCGGCACTAGTTATTCTCCAAAGCTTCGAAAGTTCTTTTTTCTTTTTTTCCCTTTTGCACTAGAACTCCCAGAATACCCACAAGGAACATGGATGAAGGGAATAATAGTTAGACTAAGCAAAGTTGCTTTAATACCTATTAGCATGGGATTTTACATTTGCCGTTCCTAGTTTCATTTTGTTACAAAATATGCTTGGGCTGAGTCTGAACTGGAGGGTCAGTTTATTCCTGAAGCCTAACCAGACAGTACTTGAGAATCCCTCCTTTGGAGATAAGAGCTTATCTTGAATTATAGCACAGCGTTCTGCTTTCAGAAAGGCAGGAAGGAACTCTTAACTCTAAAGGAATGGCATGTGACTATTCTCTGCCAAACCCAGACATACCTACAACAGTTTTATCTTGAAATGCAGAAATGCTACTGTTTGAGAATGTCTACAATGAGGCAAATGCTAAAAAGAAATTCGCTGAAAGGCAGAGACATCTACAAAATGAAAGAATGTTGATCCCTAAATTTCTAGTGTATACAAGTAATAGGTAGATAACTTTGAAAAAGAGAATGTCAAAAGGCAGCATTAGGTGGAGGGAAATCTTGTACAGTATATGCAAAGACAGCTGCTGCTTCCATTCATGTGAGAAAAATACCGCCAAAACTGACAAACTATACAAAGAGAGGGAGAAAGAAGGAAGACTAGAACTACCAAGACAATCAAGCAATAAATTCTCCTTCCCCCTCCCCCCCTTTTTGTCTATCTTCTACTACAAAGCTTTTGTCTATAATGACATCAAAAGAACTCCATTTTACCCTGATCTCACTAGATTTTTGGCACTTGCTGGCAAACTGCTCCCATTTTGCTCCTCTTGCAAATAGAAATGCTAAATAAACGAATGATCTTCCATTATGGTTTACTGTGACGTGTGAACAGGAAACCCTTGTTTGCTTCCCTTCAGACAAGTCAGATGCATACAGCATGGTTTGTTCTGGCAGAAGAAACAAAGACAGTTCAGCAGTTCCTATATGAAGGACGAGTGAAACAGAAGTGATCAAACAGCATGCTCCCACATCATCTTGGCTTATTGTTACATTTTAACTATCCTCCAGTCCCCAGCCTGCTCTATTCTTATCTCACAAGCCATACAGAAGGAAAAACAAACACAGAAGATGCTAGATTGACTACTCTTTTGTCAGCAGGCAGGACATTTTGACACCAAAGTTATTACTTTCTTCTTCGCAACTGCTTATTAGCAACAATAGAGAAATCCTGGACTTTATTACAGCTGTGAATTGAGAGCAGCATGTTGCCACCCCACCAAAATGCACAAGCAAAGGAAATGCTGTTTCACATGTCTGCGATGTGAAAAAATGTAAATGTTTCCTAGTTTTAAATATTTGAACACTACTCTGAAAGCACAAATATATTCCATAGTTATCCTCACATTGTAACTTTAGAACATCTTAGAATAATTCTGTCCAGCTGCATATGGGGAATGCTGAAGCTTACAATAGCCATCATGTGCAGCCCATCAGTACCAACTTCAAATTACTTTCAGTGGAGAAAAGTAAAGGGTGGCTTACTGTGACTGTACAGTATAGTCAAATGTTGTTACCACACAGTGCACTGAGAAGTAGTCAAAGGAAGCAGTCAAATTTCACAAACCTCTTCCTGAAATTTAATGTAACAACTATAGGTATGCATTGTTAGCATATCCATGTTGCATATATGCAGGCAGACAACATAACAAACAACTACTGTATTAGAAGACACCAGTATTACAATATACATTTGCTAATACTGGCTAGGCGTGACTTAATACTATCACTGACAAGCACACATCAGCTGTAATAATAGAAATTTGGGGAAACTCAGATTTGGCCATGAAACTCCCTGGGTGACCTTAGCCGAATCACTATGTCTCAGCCTAGTTTACCTCACAACATTGTTGTATGAATTAAAGAGGAAATGAGAGGACCATGCATACTACCTTAGAAGAAACAGCATATGAATCTTATAATATTAAATAAAAAGCAACCTGTCCCTAAACATATAATCAGCACTAGGCCATGCAAATCATCAAGACTGATCTCTAATTAATGCCCTGGGATCAGTAAACAATTTTCAACGCATAAATGTGGAGCAGCCATCCTGCACTGTGGTTTTCTTCACAATATTTTGTGATGTATACATATATTCACTCCTATCGGGGTAAGACCAGTGCTCACCTCCCCCTCAAACAAAACAAATGTTCCTTGAAGGTTGAGCACAAGATGAGCAACACGGATCTTTCCATGTGGCTGCAATACTCATTTTTCTCTGAAGCAATGGCATACCAAAAGCAGAGATCAAATCATTTTTTTTTGTAAAGTCAGCCTTTGGATTTGTGATGGCCCAAGGTCTGCTGACTGCAGAAAACAGAAAAGGACATTCTATTGCTGTTTAGTCTTCTGGGGGTATGTGCAGTTTGTACAACGTGTGTTTTAGCACTCAGTCAAAGCATGAGAGATTGACCATGATGACACTGGCCTTTTTTTAAAAAAAATGTGGGAGGTAGTCACTGCTCAGTATCCCATCTCATTATCCTTGCACATCCTCACTGCTGCTGCCTGCTCCACAACAGAAGTCACCCAGCACTCTCTGAGTGCTCCAATTGGCAGTCATTATCTCTTGCTGAACTGCTCACCAACATTCTCCCTTCAGACCCAAAACACTGCTACTGGCATCAGTAAGGAGACAGAATAGTAGTTCCCACTGTAGGCACTAAAACAAGGGGAAAAGAAACTGATGTCCACAAAAATCTGCAGCTAGACCTTTTTGTCTCATGGTTATTATACCAGCTATAGAGGAATGAAATCTACTAGCATAGCATCTATAAGCGAGATTAATAATAGCGATTAATAATAGCTAGGCAATGGAAATCAAAATCTGAATTTCAAATGGATGAATGGTATAGTGAAATATGGAATATAGCTCTAAATGATAAATTAACTTATAATTTAAAGGTTAAGAAAGGAGAGTTGAAAAAGAATAGTTTTTATGAAATATGGGGCAGATTCTTGGAATAGGTATTAACAAGAAGAAAGGGGAACGCAGCAAATCAAGAATCAATGAAGTTCTGGAGAAGAGAACAATAAAAGAAGAGGAAGAATACAGATGGAGGAAGAAGATTATAGGAAGAGGTCCCATCTACGGTGGTGGGGAACACAGTCATATTGTATTTTGATTTGTGTATTTCATGTTTATGTTTATATTAAAATAAAATTAAAAAAAGGAAAGATTCTTCCATAGTGGGTAAAATTGTTCTGTAGCCATCAACTGAAGAAGTTGAAGAAGCAGCTTATTCATCCCAAACTTAAGTTACTGCCACATCTGAAAACTTTTGGGTGACTCTCAGTATGTTCATGGATTCTGATTTTGAAAAGACAGCAGAATGCTATCTGGATCCACTTACAGTGGTGC